GCCCCAGGTGCCGCTGGCCGCTGGCCAGAGAGCTGTCGGCACTTCCAACGAGGGCCCGTAAGTCTGCTCTGACAGCCAAGGGCCATTGTGTGAGAAATGGGAGCTGCTGGCGCGGGAGCCACGGGGGATCACCACGGTGGGGGAATGGGGTTGTCATCCCTCCTTCATTCCCCCAAATCCAGCACTGCTCACGGGCATGGGCAGGTCCTGAGCAGTCCTGGCTGCCCCTGGCGCAGCGCTCGCCCCACGGCCCTGGGTGGAAGCTGTGGAGTGCTCTGTGGGTGTCTGTGCTCGGTGTGCCCACCCCAGTGTCCCCAGGTGCTCAGCTCCTGTGGCATCAGCAGGACTGGCATCAGCTAAGGGTTTAGCTCTGTGATTGTTCAGAGGGAAATGGGGCTGGGGGTTGGCCGTGGTGGCACAGCTCTCCAGGCAGCCGCAGACAGGAACGAGCAGGAGATGTTAATTTTTTATCGTTGCTTTGTTTTTGGCATGGAAGGGGCCTTGTAGCTTTTTATAAAACCACCTCCTCGAGTCTGCCTGGCCTTGGACTTGCTCACCACGAGCCAGAGGGGAGGTGACGGTGCTGGTAGCTGGGGGGGCTGCAAACAGCGTGATCATTTTTCATGCTGAGAGCGTTAAAGTGCCAGTAAATTGCACATTAACGAGTGCGAGTGAATTGGAGGCAGCTCTCCCCAAGGAGCTGCTGCCCATCAGTGCATTAGGGAAGAGAATCCATCACTGCTGGCCCCAGGAGACAGCTAAATCCTTCCCAGAACTGCCGGCTGCCAAATCTCCTTGCTCCCCCCTCTTCCTTTCTTTTCTTTCTCTGTTTTCTCCCTCAGATGGGGAAGTGAGGGCAGGTGCCAGATTGTTTCTGTTCTCTGGGTCTGGCAGCTACTCTGAAGTGGGGCACAGGGTGTCCCTGGGTGTGTGTCCCCACACCAGTTGGGCAGTGCTGCAGCCCCTTACCCTGGAACTGCAGTGCCCACACCAGCTGGGCATGGGAGATGTGCCCAAGGTCCTGGTGAGGAGATCCAGGGTTCAGCTTGGGTGGTGCCTGTGGAGTGCCCATGGTGAGGGTGTTCTCCTGCAGCATCAGGGCCCCTCAGCACAGGGTATCCTCTGCCCCTTGTCCTGATGGGCACTGCCTTTCTTCCCCTGCCAGACGGAGATCGCCAAGCGGCTCAACGTGATCTGTGCTCAGCTCATCCCGTTCCTGTCTCAGGAGGTGAGTGAGCCCTTGGGCCTCAGCTCGGTGTGCAGAGCTCCTCTGGGCCTGGGGAGCTCTGGGCAGGGCTGTGGGGCTGAGGAACTGAGCCTGCCCCAGCCCTGCTGGCTGCAGGAGGTGGTGGGAGCATCGCCCGTTGCCAAGGTGCTCTTCCCTCCCTGCAGCACCAGCAGCAGGTGGTCCAGGCTGTGGAGCGTGCGAAGCAGGTGACTATGACTGACCTGAACACGGCGATTGGGGTATGTCAACCCTCTGCCCACCCCTTCCCTGGGCTGGGGGTGCTGGGCTGGAGTTGCTGGAAGGAAGGCAGTGCCCCCCATGGCATGGCTGGGAGCACCCTGGGTGCATGTCCTCCTCACCCAGGTCCCATTGCTGACCCACCTAGGGCTGCCCCTTCCCCCTGCCTGGCAGCTGTCCTGACACAGGGCTCTGCTCTCTCCTCTTGCTCCTCTCCAGCACCAGCTCCAGACCCAGCACCTCTCACACCATGCTCCCCCCATCCCGCTGACCCCCCATCCCTCCGGGATGCAGCCCACCAGCCTCGCTGGCATCAGCAGTGCCTCGGGGCTGCTGGCACTCTCGGGGGCACTTGGGGCCCAGGCACAGCTCCTTGCCAAGGAGGACCGAGGTGTCCATGACTCAGAGCCTAGGGGTGAGTGTGGGGGGAGCCAGGGCAGGCGTGGGTTGGGTCTGAGTGGATCTGGGAAATGGTGGTGCAGGGCCCAGGGGCTGCCTCTGCTCCCCATGCCCTTCCTCATTGGCCACTTCCCGGGGATGGGAGACAGGGTTGGGTGGGGACCCACTTGTCCATGCCCTGGGGCTCCTGGCTGGGCTGGAGGGGTTTGCTGTCTGTAAGGGGTTTTTAGGTGAGGAGCATCCCCCACTGAGCGGCATCTCCTGGGGGATGGTGAGGTGGGCTGGTGGGGGATCATCCCTGGTGGGGGCCCAGGGCCACCCCAGCACCCGCAGGAGGAGCAGGTGGCTTTCCTGGGGGTCTCTTGCCAGTGGCACAGCATGTCCCCCCTTTCCTCCTCCTGTTGCA